CTCACTGAGATGAAGAAACTGGCAGTATGTCTGAACGGAAACATCCAGTAGTAGGCAGATGGACATGCTAGCCTTGAATTCAGGAAATGTTTGGGCTGGAGGGACAGACTTGGAAGACATCATAGAAAATAATAGTTAAAACCAATAACAATGGTTTATGCCCTGCAGGAGTTCAGACAGGGAAGGAGGGACCCTCAGAAAATACTACCCTGGGGGTACCAGGGAAAGCAAGAGGGATCAGAGAAGCCAAGAGGAGAATTGGGATTTGTAGAATCATGGAATTAAAAGAAGAGCATCAAGTCCTGCAGATAAAGACTAAGAAAAGGACTGTGTGGCAGAGACAGGCACAAGTGACCTTCAACAGGACAGCTCACAGACGAGGGCATTCTTGGTAGTCTCTGCAGCCTACTGTAATGTGAGGCTGGTGGGAAAAGCTTGATAAATATTGGCTACCTGAAGCAGCTGCCATACCTTGGGCTCAACGCATTTAGCAAAGCAGTCAGAGTCCACTGCCAGGGTCCACCTCCTGTAGAGCTTCTTAGCCTAGCCTGGAAGGGAAATTGGTTGCTCTGACTTGAAGTGGTCGTTGGAGGAGTTCACCCCAAAAAGAGTTGTTTCTTTAATCCTGCTCTCTTGGACATTGAGGATTCATTTAACCCCTTGCCTGCCTTCAGACCATATAAGCGAGATAGAAATTATCCCCCTTTTTAGCAGCTCCGGAGGTAATTTCCCAACAAATTTGGTAGTCTGTTCTACAGTTTCTGAAAACCCTTGCCAAGGTCAACTAGAAAATAGGCCTTTGTGGCTCAAAGTTTCTAAAAAGCTCACTTGAAAAATTGAGTAATGAGTCAACTGATAGGAAAAATAAAGTCAGAGATTGCCCTCCTTCTGGAAAGATGGAGCATGGCGTCATTGGAGGCTGAGGGAATGGATTGTAAAGGGGGTGCAGAGGCCAGCATCCTGGAGAGTGTGCTCTAGGGCTCTAACTCAGGGATCTGAGGGGCTCTCTCATGCTCAAGAATATCACAAGCATGAAGTACAAAGGAGTATTTGTGCTGTGCCCTGAGAATAAACTCAAATGAAGTTATTCACAAGGAATGATTGCCATCCAGGTCCTGTCATTGAAGTTTTTCCATTTCTTGGTGCCTAGAACTGATAACCCTTGAGAGGAGATTTCATGCTCAAAGACAAAGGGCATCACTTTTACATCCAGGAGGGATGCTGGGAGGAAAGACGGTGGGAAGACAAAGAGGTACCATGCAGAAAGAAGTAGATTAAAAAAATATGCTCATTGTAGGTGAGGAGACAGAGCTTATAGTTAAGTTATGGAAAATAGTATTTTACCAGGTTAAAAAAATAAATTTAGTCATTCAAACATTTATTGAGCGGCTCCTAGGTGCCAGGCACTAGGCTGGACAACAGGGCATGATGACACATTCCCTTGAGGAGTGTACAGCCTATTGAGGGAGACAAGTGTGAGCAAACAACTGTGAAACAGCAGGAAAGGTGCTCACAGAGGCAGGTACAGGATGCTAATAGAGGCAGGGGAGACTTACTTCACCAGGAGAGAAAGAAACTTAAAAGAGCAGCACAGAGACATTGTTGTACTTCTGAAGACTTTGGTTTGAGCTACATGTAGCGGCCCACTGGCATTTGCAGACTGAATGTTCATGGATGAAAATAGTCTCCATTGAGTGATCTGAAAGGTCCCTGTAGTGAGGTAATTTGCTGAGACACAAATCTAAATGGCCTGCTAGGAGGCCAGAGTGTACTTGCCAGCCACTTAGTGAATAAATCACACCCAACACCTGGCATTTGTGCCCCAGCACAGCTTAGCTCTTCTCATTGACATCTTTGTAGTAATTCTCATACTTTGATTGACTTTTTTTTTCTTTGCAGAGTCAGAGGAATATGGAGTTAATAAGGTACAGATGTAATGAAGTAAAGAGTTTATTTTAATGGCAAAATTTATTTAAGTAGCTTTTGAAATTACCTTGGTGCCATATTTATAGAACCATTATGAGTCTAAAAATGATCCCTTATATTTTTCAGTTACACTTTACTGCTTTTTATAGTGAAACTTATATGTCATGGTGACATTCATGATTCTGGATACTCATGAAGGTCATGGATGAACCCTCTGAGAATGTCAAGGGTCCACGTCTGTGAATGATGAGTTATATTTTATTGGCACTCTACTGGACATAACATGGTCTCATTTTAAGTTTGAAAGGTAAGATATATTCTCCTTTATATGATTTTCCTATAATTTGGAGAAGGCTACTATTGCCCTTCCTTATTTATGCAGGCGTACCATGTATTACCAGAAGACAAAGGATAACATTCATCCACAAAATTGCAGCCTGACAAGCAACTCAAATCAACAGATAACTAAATTCCCCCAGTTAAATGCTTTTCTCTTGGTCTATTTCTTGGAACTTAATAACCACTGAAACTCAAACTCTGGCTCCCTCCCCAAAATACACTCCATGTACCTCAAACTTAACATGACAACACACAACCTCAATCTGCTTCCACTTCTGTCACCTTGGTTTGGCTATTAGGATCACATGTATTTAACTGAAGCTGGAAAACTCAGAGTTGACCAGGCTCTTCCCCCAGCATCTCCTCAGTTACCAAGTAAATCAGTTTTACCTCTTAAATGACTCTCAGAAGCAGTCAGGCCTCTCCAGTCCCATGGCACTGCTCTAGCTCAGGGCCAAATCATCTGTCATCACAATATCCTGACACAGTGCCTCTAACCTGTCCTTCCTCTATCCTCCAAATTGATAGAGAGTAATTCTTCTCAAAATGCAAATCTTGCATTCATTAGTTTCCACTGAAGATCAAAATATGGTCCCATCAATAGCTGGTTCCTCGCCAGTGAGTCTGATGCCAATGGTCTACACAGAACACTTTGAGAACTGCATGGACTGTGAGCTGTTTATGTCCCTAAACATGCTGTGTTCTTTCATACTTCTGTGCATTTGCCCAACTCTCGTCCTGCACTGCCCTTTCACTCTTCTACTCTTAGTGAGCCTCTTATCGGACCTTCCAGATCCAGTTCAGATGCTACTACTTCAAGAGAGCCACACGTAAATCTCTCAGTGGCTCTCCTATCTGGGCTCCTGTGCCCTTGAATACACACTATTAAAGCATGTGTCATAGTTTACAGCGACAAACTGTTCACAAGGTTATCTTCTCCAGTGATCCACAAGCTCTTGTCTTTGAATCCTAGTACTCAGCACAATGCTTGACTGCTTGGCTCCTGCCAGGTAGTCATTGTTTGCTGAATGAAAGGATCAGTGATTGAGATCGGTGGCTAAAATGGTAAAATGAGAGAAGCATGTTATCAAAGGGCAAAACTGCTTTTTTGTTAACTCTAAAGTGCATCAAGGTACCAGGAAAGTTAAAATAAGGATGAAGAGTGCTTTTAGATCTCAACTGACTTTTAAATTACTCATCACATCTGTCCTAGCTAAAGACTAACTCTAGCCAGCCTCCTGTGCAGCCTGTTAAGTCAGAATATTTCACACTTGGACACCAGATCCAGCAAATGCTCAATGATCATGGAAGAAATACTTAAAGAGAAGCTATTGGCTTTGAAAATACAAATGTTAAAAAAAACTGCCCAATAAGACCATTTGCTAATTTTTTTTCTGTTTGGCATTTTAGAAGACAATATTAGACACAGGGCATCATACTGTACACGATGCCCAATATCTGTGGTGGCAGTTTCTACAGGACAATTACAGTGAGGCTTTTTCTGTTCATTCATTCACAGACAACTGTTGCACAGCTACTATGTGCCAGTCACCATGCCGTGCCCTGGACAAGCAAAGAAAAGAATAGGTCCTAAGATTCCAGGCTTTCTGTAGGCCAGATGGATTACTACAAACGGGTACCCTGGACATGTATCATTAAGCAGTTACTATTTAAATCCAGCCCGGTTCCAAAAATGTTCTCAAGTTCTCCTTGTACTTAACAGGTCACAGGTTACCTTGGGTAACCTCAAGAAGGCTGCTAAGCATTCTAATCCAGTCGGTCCTGCAAGGCACAACCTGTCTCGGGAGGCAGCTACATTCAAAACACAGTGTTTAGGTAAGTCCCTTCCTGCTCTAATTCCCCAGTGTGGGGGGGTTTGTTGAAAGAGCGTTTTCTAAGAAGGAAAAGATTCGGATGAAGGCAGGCGATATGTAAAACTGAGCTCGAGCTTCAATCAAAACTCTTGGGAGTTTTGGTGACTTGGTGTTAGGGCACGGAAGGTTTCTTTGGGTACCTTCCCCATATACAGTGGTGGAAAGAAAAGCTTCCAGAGCAAACCCAGTCAGGGAAAGACGGAAATCCACTGCATGTAGCAACATACTGGAGCCCAGACCTCAGCCTAACTCTAATTAAACAAACTACATTATAAATAACGGGCCAATCTCAGATATACTACTCCCCTAGCCCTCAGGCTGCCCCAAAGACTCACTGCCGGCCTCCCTTCTCGACCCTGGACAGCGCCGCGCCCTTCTCGGCCCCACCCACCCAACCCAGGAGGGGTCCCCACAGCCCCACGCCCACCCCCGGAACACCACCCATCGCGGCCCGGCCCCTCCCGGGCCCCACTTGTCGGGCCCCACCACGGCGCTGGCTGCCCTTTAAACACCCCCACCCTTACACAGTACCCCCACCTCCACGGCAGCCGGACGGCAGCCGGAGAGGGACAAAACTGATGGCGTACAGCCAGTTTCCTCCGCGGATCTCGTCTGGGGTTGCCCAGCCCGTGGGGCCCTCCACCCTGGGCCACAGTCCCCTGGCGCCCCCCCGAGCCCGCGGCGGGCGGGCAGAGGAGTGTCGCCGCGGCCCAGCTGCGGGGCGGGGCCGGCGGGAGCGGGGTCTCCGCCGCCGCCACTGCTGCCTCCGCCTGCCGCTCGGGCCGCCCGCTCGCCAGCCTCTGGGTGCGCTGCACGCGGGGGGCAGCCGCGGTGCAGAGGTTCATGCAGCGGCGGCGGCGGCGGCGGCGGCTGCTGCTGCTGCTGCTGCTACCGCGGAGGCAGACAGACCCGGCGCTGCCGCCGCCGCCGCCCTCCCCCGGCTACATGCAGCCGCCGCTGCCGCCTCCTCCTCTCCGGCGAGGGGCGGGGGGCTCCGGCCCGGGGTGGGCACCACTCCTCGCAGTGCCGCTCCCCTCCCTGCCCTCCGCGCTGGCCCTGGAGCCGGCGGGGGCGCCCGCCGCCTCCTAGGAGCGCACGCCCCGCGCGCCCTGCCGCGCCCTGGAGAGAGGGGGCGGGCGTGGGCAGGGGCGGGCGGGCGTCGGGGCAGCGGAGACCCGGCACGGCGGCGAGAGGAGGGGGCTGCCTCGGAGAATGCCCGGCGCCGGCTCACCGCTCCTAGGCACGGGCTGAGCCGGACCCGGAGCGGGCGGCGCGTCGCCATGCCGGTGTGACGGGCGCCCCCGGCTGCCCGCGCGGTCCCCCGCGCTGCCCCACGCCGCGCCGCGCCGGCGCCGGGCGGCAGGATGGGCTGTATCCAAAGCATTACCTGCAAGGCGCGGATCCGGCGCGAGAACATTGTGGTGTACGATGTGTGCGCCACCATCGACCAGTGCCCCACGCGCATCGAGGAGACCTCGCCCATCGTCCTGCGCTACAAGACCCCCTACTTCAAAGCTTCGGCCCGCGTGGTCATGCCCCCCATCCCCCGCCACGAGACCTGGGTGGTGGGCTGGATCCAGGCGTGCAACCAGATGGAGTTCTTCAACACCTACAGCGACCTGGGCATGTAAGCGACCGGCCGCGCGGAGTCGGAGCGGGGTCCCTGGCCCCGGTCTCTTCTGATCCCGACCCTCCTCCCCAGCTCCTTCTTACTGCTCTCCCCATCCTCTTTCTAAACCTTCCTCCCGCCTCCTCTTCCATCTCCCTCCTCCCTACGCTTTTGTTTCAGTGACAGGGCGGGTGTGTGTAGGGAGGCTCCTCGCGAAGGCATTTTCTCGTGGTTTTCTTCTGACTCCCCATGAACGCGAGAACGGTGCGATAAGGAGGGTTCGAGAGACGCGGGTGGGGGTGGCTGGCTAGTGCCCTGGGAGTTTCGGGGCGCCGCCTGTGCTTTGTGGGGATTCCCGGGAAGAGTTTGGGGGGGACCTGTAGAGAGGAGTGGAGTGGAGTGCCGGGGGCGCGTGGGCTGTGCCGCGCGTCCTTTGGAGAAACCCGAGCGGGCTTGGAGGAGAAGGTCCCGGGTGTCCCAGCTGGACTTGGTGGTTCTGCCCTTGTTCCCTCGACTGTTGACTTCGAGCCCTTGTGCCCCGGGCCGGGAAGCCTGGAGGCATTTGCATCCGGAACCGCAAACCCTGGAGAGCCGCTTTTCTGGCTTGGCTTCCTCTGGACGAGTACTGGGGTGGTGGGAACTGGAAGGCACCGGGCGCGTCCCTTGTGCGAGCAGCCTCTGGCTGGGGTGGTGTGGTGTGTGTCTTATGCTCAAGGAAAGTATGCGTCTCTTGTCGGTCTAAAGTCTTTATTTACTCCAGAACTTTACTGATTGCGACGCTGGAAGTGGTTCCCCAGCGCCCACCGCCGAATTCTGTTGGCGATCTGGGAGCTCTCCAACTTCTTTCAGCAGCGCCGCTCGGTGCGCGCCGGGCTCGGTGGCTGCGGAGACCCGAGATCGCGGCGACTCCTCTGCCGCCAGGGGCCGACAGCCTGCCCCGGAACCGCAGGCTGCTGACAGTCGCGTCCAGGACTTTATTTACTAAATTTTCATGACTCCCTGCCAGCCTCCTTTCAGAAGTAGACTCTGGGCAGTTGGCAACTACAATGGCTAAAATGTTTGGGGCCTGCGTTCTACCTGCTGTTACAATGTAGGTCTAGAGCACCCTAATTAGCTTGCAGCCTGTAGGGAA